GTATAGTGGTTAAGTTTATTAGTATTTTAGTGTCACAATTTTATTTTTTATAATAATAATTTTTTTATAATTTTAAAAATTATAAATTTCATATATTTTGAAAAAAATATTTTCTTTTAAAATTAATTGTTTAAAAATATAAAAATATTAAAATAAACTTTTAATTACAATTAAGGGATTAAATGAATTATTATTCATTAATTTTTATTTTTTAACAACGGTTAATAATGTTTATTCATTTTAATAAAATTATTTTGATTTTATCATTAAAATTACACAATATGTATAATCTAGTATAGGAAAACTTTGAGGGTAAGTATTTTTAAAATATGAATAATTTTATAAAAGTTTTATAACTAGTATTTCTTTTATAAAATGATGATGATGATAATAATAAATATTTTATAATTTTAAAAATTATAAATTTCATATATTTTTGAAAAAAAATTATTACCTTTTAAAATTAATTGTTTAAAAATATAAAAAATATTAAAATAAACTTTTAATTACAACTGAATGATCAAATGAATTATTATTTATTAATTTTTAATTTTTAACAACAGTTAATAATGTTTATTCATTTTTAATAAAATTATTTAAATTTTTGCATTAAAATTACACAATACATATAATCTAGTATATAAAAACTTTGAGGGTAAGTATTTTAAAATATGAATACTTTTATAAAAGTTTTATAACTAGTATTTCTTTTACAAAATGATGATGATGATGATAAATATTTATAATTTAAAAAATTATAAATTTCATATATTTTTGAAAAAATTATTGCCTTTTAAAATTAATTGTTTAAAAAATATAAAAAATATTAAAATAAACTTTTAATTACAATTGAGGGATCAAATGAAATATTATTTAATAATTTTTTCAAAATATATGAAATTTATAATTTTTAAAATTATAAAAAATTTATTATTATAAAAAATAAACTTGTGACACTAAAATAATAAACTCAACCACTACACACACTGCTCACTTCATTAAAACCTCAGCCAGTTCACAACCTGAAACCGTCCGGTGTGGGGTGTCTGCACAATTCAAAATACTGATGTTTTTACACAAATGTCACCATAATAGGAATTAATGACGTATTTGTCACCCGTTTAAAAATATTTACAAAAACTAGTATCCGAATGTTTTACACATTTGGTAAGGCGCGCCCCCGGGGGAGCGCCTTCGATCACGTCGCGTAAAGCGCGGTGCAGGGGAGCGCCTTCCTGCAAAGGGTGTTAGATCGGTAAATATAATCTGAACGGTATCTGATAGGAAAATATATATGATTAGGGTGATATTTCGGGAGAAACGCCCAAAAAATGATTAATATGTATTACTTTTGTTTAAATTATATTATATGATTATGTTAGTTAGTTTCTACACGTAACTAAATAATACTACTTAACTTTAAAAATTGATTACGTAATATAATAACAATTATATATCAGGAATCATTTCTAATTCACGCATTGCTGCATCGGAAAATTCTACTGCACTTGACGAGCATCGATGAACACCATTAATTTAATTTATAAAATTTAAAATTTTAAATGATTCAAAGTATAATTATAAATTAGTTAAGAAATTTTTGATAAATTATTTAAAATAAAGGGTAAACTATAATAGGATCGCCTAATTATTTCCACTTTTCACTTTGACCATTATTTTTGAAATTTTATAAATCAAGTCATTTAACTATTTAAATACATTAAATTAAGTCACTTTCTATTAATATTTAACGGAAAAATTGATGTGACAGTTAAAATATTTGATATAATTATACATTTGGTCACTGTTATTTATATATTATCTCAATTTGATCATAATTTTAATAAATTATAATAAACTTAACCTTCAAAACTAGTAATAGCAACAAACAAATTACAAGCCAATTTGCAAAATATGATATTTTCACCCACCATTCAATTCAACCCAATGCCAACAACCAGCTCCCATTGATTTCAATGAACCAAAAACTAACTATATATTTGAATTTCAAAAGTTTCCTGAGGTAGCATTTGGGAATTCATATTTCAAATTTTGGATTACGAATTTAAAATCTTCATCTTGATAATCATTAGATTATTTATTGTTCTAATCCATAACCTTCTAAAAACCTAACACATGCGAGAACAAAATCAATCCTGAGTTAAGTTAGGATTTGTTTGTTTCCTTGTAATTGGTTTTTCGGAAAATGTTTTCTCATTTTTCAGTGTTTGGTTGGCGGAAAACAGATAGTCAATGTAATTCATTTTCCTGTTCAACTGAATTTTATTTGCATTTTCTAGAAAATGACTTACCATCTGATTTTTTGTAAGTCATTTTACGAACTTGTCACTTCAAAGCATAAAAACTCAAAACATTATTATTTTATAAATTTATTTTAATACATTATTTTAATATCATTTTAATAAAAATACCAATTATTAAATTATATTTATTGATTTTATTGTTATAATTATATTATTAAAATATATAATATAATATTTTTATTTTAATAATATAATATAATAAGTCATTAATAAAATTAATATTATTTATTATTTTCATAAAAATAGTATTATTGAATTGTAGAATATTTAATATTTATTCCTTAAAAATATAATATAATATAAAATTTTAATTTTATTATTTTATTTTAATAAATAATTAATAATATATTATTCTAATTTTAATAAATAATTAATATAATTTATAATATTTTTTAATAAAATATAATAATCGAGATATTTTTATTTATAAAATTATAGATATAATATTCTTATAATAATATTGACATTAATAATGTTAAATAAATTATTTTAATATTTTAAAAATATTATTATTATTTTATTAATAAATAATATTATTTATAATAAAGAATTTAAAAAAATATCAGCAAGTGGAAAATGAATTACACAATATCATCCAAACACCGTAAAATGATTTCCTGAAAAGAATTTCTAAAAAATATAATTCATTTTACAGAATTCATTTTTCGTGAAACAAATGAACCCTTATTTAATATTTTAAAAGAAGTAGTCTTCTTCCCTAAAAAGAACCTTAATTTTCATATTCGTAACTACCGTAAAAAAAGATGGTTTTTTTAAAGTAATTGCTAGTCAATTCTAACGATGATAAAAAATTTATTTAATTAAAAGATTAATATCGAGATTTGAGAAGATTAGAATAAATTAATAGTTTGAAGATCTTTTCAATTAAAGAAATCATTGAACGACAGTAGAAATAATAATGAATGGAAACGACAATCTAATAAAAATTAAAAACTCGGACTTTTTGATCTATCATTATCACTCGTTAGATCAATTTGAAATCAAATTGTGTTATATGTTAGATTCACCATTGTTAATATTGACCAATTATGGTTCCATTAATAGAAAAATCAACTTTTGAAACGACAATAGATTTGATTTTTTTTTTTGAAAATAAGACTTAAACGCAATGTTTTTAAAATCGGATCGGACATTGAACCGATAAAGGTACTAGTTCACTGGTTCACTGGTTTAACAGGATTCAACCGCGGTTGAACCGGATTTTATATAAAATATTTTTTTTTAATTTTACATAATATTCAAAGCAATATTAATATATATATAACACTTTTTTTAAGTTTGCAATATTAAAAGGTATAAAAATATCACAAGTCATAACATGTACAAATGAAAAACCATAAAATCAAGTGAAACAAAATTATTCAAATCAACTACAACATAATATTTAAGGTAAAACATATTAAATAATAAATATAATTATATAACTATAATCAAAAAAATAAAATAAAATTGGGGCTTAAAAAAATCATAACAAATGATGCCATTTGGTTTAATTGTTTTAAAAAAAACAATCCCACATGGTAAAGAAACATAGAAGAGTATCCCAAAAGTTTAAAGAGTAAAAATATGAGAACAAACCAATCTCACATGGCTAAGAAACATAGAAGAGCATCCCAACTTATTTCTATAAACAATAGAGGTAATTTGACATTCAAAATCATGGAGTCTTTTGGTGAGCACAAAGCGAACTATTCTTTCACTTCAATTGAGCTCAAATTTTAGGCTTCAATTAAGCTTTTAAATTTTTTTTTGAGTTCAAGCCTTTTCGATTTCAAGTTTTAATATTATATTTCGAGTTGATAATTTTTAGCTCGTGAGTTTTTGAGTCGAGTTGAGCTTACTTTTAAAGTTTTCAAGTTCGAGTCGAGCTCAGCAATACTCGAATTTGACTTGGCTCGTTGAACAAACGACGTCGTTTGGTTTAATTTTTTTTAAAGAAAAAAAGTGAACCGACGATTCAAACCGATTTTGTCGGTTTTCAGCCGGTTCACCCCGGTTTTCAGCCGGTTCTTCTGATTCTGTGCTAATCCGGTTTTGGGAGTTAACCGAACCGAACAGGCCACCGGTTCACGGTTCAACCGGTCGAACCGACCGGTCCGGTCCAATTTTAATAACATTGCTTAAACGTGTAAGATAACATTTTCTATTAACAATAAATAATAATGATAATAATAAAAGTTTAAATATATAAGTAATAGTGATCATATGTGTAATTACACCAAATATTTTAACTGTCACATAAGTTTCTCTATTAAATATTAATGGTAAGTGACTTAATTAAATGCATTTAAATAGTTGAGTGACCTGATTGATAAAATTTTAAAAATAATAATCAAAATGAAAAGAGATAATAATTAGGTGGTCACTTGTATAATTTACCCTTTATTTTAAATAATTTACTTTTAAATTTTTTTAACTAATCTATAATTATACATTAAATCCTTGCTGCATCTATACAACTTGGCTGAAGCGGCCAGAAAATATAAGTAATTTGCTTTAGGACAACATTTTAGGTACCCGAAATTAGGCCTTAACGAACGTAAAATTGACCTATGTCTCTGCTTACAACATGCAATAACATCGGGGGCTTTATTGTCATTCCACGTTACCTCAAATGATTCATTTTTTTTTTAAAAAAAAGTTGAAACAAACTCACAAGCTTTTTCCCATGTCAAAGTTTCAATCTTTAATCGGAACAAACAATACAGAATCCTATATAAAAATGTGAACAAAACCCTACGATCAAATCGAAGCTGCTCTACTTTTCCTCTTCTGTACCAGGAAGCATATACCTTGAAGAAACACGATCGAAGCTTGCAAGATTTCACTAATGGATGAGTAAAGTTTCTTTCTTTTTCCCTTTTCTTTAACTGGAAACTTCGGGTTTTTTTCTTTTAAGATCTCTCCCATTGGGAAAAAAATATTTATTTCTTTCAGATCTGATCCGTACCCAAAGGACTATGGAACCGGCACCGGCGACCCCAGGAGACTGACATCAACTTCTTCATCTTCTTCTTCATCCACAACAAGCGTTCACGTGACCGCCTTGGACGGCCTCGTCAACGTGAACTCCCTTTTCACCATCGCCGTCTTCGTGGGCCTTTCTTTGACCACTCCCGGCCAGCGCAGCCTCGAGAATCGAGCCCCCTGCGACGCCGGCATCGACGTTGCTAAAAAGCTCTTGGTGTTCGAGGTCGTCTCCTTCAGCTTCTTCCTTTTCTCCTCCCTGGTGGCGCAGGGCTTGAAGCTGGCCATCAATCTGTTGAACAGCAAAGACGTGGATGAAGCTTTCAGAGCACACATTAACCTCAAAGTATTGAGGTTCGGGATGATGGGGTCCGCCGTGGGGTCCGTCATGGGGTGCTTGTTTCTGATGCTGTCGATGGTGAACGTGATCGAGATACGGCTGGGGATGTTGTCTTGTGGCAGTAAGTCCGCCATTAATGCGGTGGCGGCTTTGGTTACTCTGGTTTCTTCTGCTCTCTTGGTTTACATTTCCACTGCTGTTTATGCTTTCTTGCATTGAATCGTCAAACAAATATTGTTTGGTTGCTTGTTGCCATGAAACAAATATTGTAAATCAAAGTCGTGGGTTGGTTGGCCTAAATTAAGAATCCAATATACATTTATTTTCAACATTTATTAGTTGCTTGTTGTTTCCTAATGACTTTGGCTTTGATTATTTGATAAGTTCATCGGCTTTGCTGCTTTATAACTTGTTAATTGACGAGTTTATTAAGAATTGTGGTACACCCACTTTGAATCAGAGTGATAAATGCATAAGGTGAGGGATGAAATCTGTGAAAAATGATTTAGGAATCAAGAAAATGATATATCTTGTAAGGAATGATTTACTTGCCTTATCAACTAGACTAGTTGCAACTTGCTAATTATTATATACAAGGCTTCCTTATATATATTTGTTCTGATAAATATGTATACAAGTATGAATATATGTCGACTTGTTTTGGTCATTCAAGTGACCACAAATTTGGATAGATATGCTAAAAAAAATTAGAGTTTATTATTGAAATTTGAATCCTAATATTTTAATAAATAAATAAATCTAAAAGCTTTTTTCGATTTCATTATATATTATCAAAAGTAATTTAAAGTCCAATAAACTGAAAAGTAATTCGCCTTAGTACAATGTTTTAGATGAGACAACTAGCTATGTAGTAATGACAGAAGAGATGTTCTCAAGTGACTAATTTAATAGTGATGTTTGTATAGTTAAACTATCTTTGTTTGGTCTTGCTAGACAATGGTTAATATGTGTGGCCTATGGACATTTATGTATGTTGTGACCATGTATGATGTTATATAGCTAAATATCCATAATGCTTAGTATGATTGGTATGGTGTCATCGGGTCATTTGTATATTATTGATGGGAATTGTGTCGAGGTTTTGATGATATCAACTTTCCTCTCTATGGTCTATACTCGATTACTAAGATGAGATCAAACAACCATTTGTTGTGTTAATCGACTGGTGGGAATTATATCGAGGCGTGTGTGAGATTGGATTCTCCATGTTAATGTGACTGCTGTTGTGACTTCGGGTGCTAATATTATATTTGTACATATGATTGATGTATACCTGGGAGATCGAGGTTCTGTTTTTTTTTATCTTCTCGCAAGGCCTAAAAATAGTATGATACATTGTACGATTCCTTTATGACCCTTGCTTGGATATATACAATGGTGATTTCGCTGATGCATAAAGCAGTTCATTTAGGTCATTCCTTGCATATTTGGTTTAGAAATTGCAAGGCCTTTCTGGGAATTGTAGTGTTAAATGTAAAAAAGAGTGAACATTGGAACTAGTCTTCTGTTGAACCATTTCTCAGATAGCTTAACCGTTGCAATTGTAATCTTGAGTCTATCCATTGTACTTGGACACAAATGTCCCCTTGTTGGCTAGAACTATAGGCAAGCAAAGTGCCCATTAAGGCCTCTTTTTGGTGAGTGTCAAGGGCTTAAACGCTAAATCCGCTGAAGAAAGAATATTGAGATTAATTTTGTCATACTTGCAATCTTTCAGAAGTATTGAAAACTATTGCAGTCAAAGAGTCATAAGCAAGAAGAGGGGCCTATAATCTCCGGCATACAATTGCAGTCTAAAGAATTATAAGAAGCCAAAGGGTTTATGAAAGCCAACATACAATCACTTCGGCCTATGAAAGCCAGCATACAGTTGCAGTCGGCAGACTTATAAGCAGCAAGTTAAAGAGCCTATAAAAGCCGGCTTACAGTTGCAGTCAAGCAAGAATGGAAGAATTTGCACGCAAATGTACCTAAAGCTCGTAAATTCATAAAACCCTTGAACGAAAGCATATCAGAGTAGCATTGGTACAATATTGTTGGATATGTTAAGTAGCTTTGACTGAACCCAGATAAGATTAATACACGGACACTTCGTAGGTATGCAATACCGAAGAGCAACTTGAGGTTGAGCAATTTGACATACTTTTACACCTTCTGTCTGCTAGAAAGATGTGTGCACATGGACGTTATATGGATACTTGATAGAGAAGTTACCGGAAACTTGAGCATCACTAAGATGATTCCCAGGAAGTACTGCAACTTACCCCATGCATAAGGGCTCTCTATGCAATCAAGCCTCAACGGAGGAAGTACGAGTAAATAAACATCTACCAAGCTATTTTGAGGATTACATTAATCACTAATCCACCTATCTCCTCTTTTTCTTTAGGAGTGAAGCAGCAAGAAATATCCGATCTACCTCATCAAAATTGGGTTATTTAACATCCTCCTCAGATGATGTGGGAACTTTTGAGCCCATAGATATTTGGCGTAGGTGCTCCTTAAAATCTTCAGGTTCCCCGTCACTTTATTTTGGAAAAATTGTCAAATTCATCCAAGAAAAGCCTATGTTCATCTCTCTCCTCTGTCTCAGTGTCGGACTCGGTCTCGAAAATATCTGACAAGTGCTCAGAATCTGAAGCCATAAGCAAATCTGTTTTGGATTCATTTTCAGAAAGTTCCTTGCTCTCATCCAAATTGCCAAAAGCCGAGTTCTTTTCTATGATAAAAACTGCGTTTGCTCCACTGAATTAACACATTGGCTATTCAAACAGAATGAAACTGGAACATAGAAGATAACTCTATCGCATTGGGAAAACGGTGCCAGCAGGAACTCTCAAGGCACCGATTCATAGCCAAAGAAAAACGAAGAGATTCATCTCCATCACCAAACAAAACATATAGAAGAACAAATAGATAAAAAAGGTACCTGGTTTTGAGAAGGGACTTATCTGGGATGGAAATTAATGAATTAACGAGAAGAATATTGAGTCTACGGGACTTTCCTGAAGCTGAAAATAAAACCCTACCCGCCATTTCAATATTTCTCTTCTCCACTCTCTGTCTAGTCTCAGATTTTGGGTTTGCCTTCATAAGCTATGAACCGGTTTAATACCGTCCCACGCGCGGCGATTTAATCAAAGAGTCCAAAACCAACCAACCATCGTTGTCTAATAGTGTTATGTAAAATTATATTACTATTTTTTTAGATTGAATCTTGATAATTACAAGAGAATATATGTTTAAATATAATTTTCAATCATTCATTTAGCATCGCTCACACTCTTATCATTCAGGATGCTCGAGTCTAGCACTTAGTGGTAGATTCAGAAATATTTTTTTGACTGTAGACACATATATATTAATAACATAAATTTTTCGCATAGGGTGGACACAAATAAAATTTAAAGGCGGACAACTTGAATATAATTAACTACCAACATAAATAAATTTAGATTTCAGAGTGCCCACCTAGGCAAAACCTAAATCCGCCACTGCTAAAACTTCAAAGAACAACAATAATTTTTTTACCATCAAAGTTGTTGAGTTATGAAAATTCCTATAGATAAATATTGAAGATTAATGTTGGAAATCAAATTGTTTATGAAAATTCCTTTTGTTTTCTTTTATTTCAAACAGTAGCAAAAATTCTTTTTTTTTTTATCGGTGATTTTTTCGAAAGAATATTGTACATAAAATTTCGATGCCTATTTTACGGTGTAACCACCATAATTATAATTAGATTTTAACTATATATTATTTTGGTTTAGTTACATAATTTTAAAACTTAAATATGAATCAATCAAATTCAATTTAATAAAAGGTGAAAATAACTAATGGAATTGATTTATTTAATTTCAATTCAATTGGTTGAATTTATTCCCAAATCAAAATAACTACATACTTATACTGTGATCATATTTTTGTTACCCAAATTGGTTGGTTTAACCTGGTAATAAGAACAATAGAGAAGGTTGAATTGAGTCATGATTAGAAAAATTAGTTTCATGACCATTTAATTAAATAAATTGAATAGAAGAATTTGTGACCAAATTATAAAATGAAACCATTAATAATAATAATAATAATAATAATAATAATAATAATAATAATAATAATAATAATAATAATAATAATAATAATAATAATATATAGAGAAAACATAGCAAATTGTCATAATGAGATTTTAGAAGAGAATTCCTAGCAAACTCCTTTTTAACTTAGAATTTAGAAAACATTGTGAATTTGCCCTTAGAATTTTGCTTTCCCCCAACCTATCAACTTAAACTTAATGCTGCAAATCCACCACCTTTCATCATTTGCTTGAATTCCTTGAAATTAACCATTCCATCTCCATCCACGTCCACTTTCATTATCATTTTCCTGCAGTCTTCGATGGTTCTCCCTTGCTTCAACCCCAACGATGATAGAACCGATCTCAACTCCTCCACCGTGATGAATCCGTCTCCGTTTTGATCGAACACGTTAAATGCCTCTTTCATGTCCTCTTCCTCATCCCTCTCGTCCATTATCGTCTGATACAACGCTCCGAATTCTTCGATGTCTACGAAACCGTCTCCGTTCACATCGATCTTATCCACCATCTGATTTAATTCTTTATCCTCGATAAAAATTCCCAAATTTACTAGCGAATCGTGAAGCTCTTTTTTTGTGATCTGGCCGTCTCCGTTCTTATCGAACATCTGAAACATGCGCCGAAGCTCTGTCGGGTCTGGTCCTTCTTCCATCGACTAATAAATTTTGATTTAACAGGGGAAAATGCAAGTTAAGAGTAAAAATTGAAATGAGAGATGGGAGAGTTAATTATTAACAAGGAAAATCCGAAGGGATTAAATGATTGACAAATAATTCTATGAACAGAAAGAAGAATAAGCTGGTAATAGAGGGAAATGAAATGGGATTTTAAGCATCCAAATTACAAACTAAAGAATGAAAATCAATTAATGGTTATTAGTATACATCTAAAATTAGATTCTTTGTGGAATAAATTCGTTGTTTATCGGTTAAAATTTTAACGGAATATTCTTTAAAATAGGATAAAATAAAATGTATTATATTACAACTTAAAAAATAAAATAATGATATAATTGATGATCCAAATTCTAAAATGAAATTATTCAACTTAAAAAACTCTACAAACATGTACTGTCTTATTTTTTAAATAATAAAATGATATGATTCTTAGAAACAATCCTCTTAATAGAATATTATTTTGAGAAAATCGCCTCAGTGACCAAAAAAAAGTTATAATATACGATTTTAACCAACTTTTTTTGGATTTGCCAAAATGACCAACAAAATCGCAACGCGAAATAAAAATCGCAACGCGATCCCCAGAATCGCAAATCAGTTTCCAGAATCGCAAATCAGTTTCCAAAATCGCAACGCGATTCTTGAAAATCGCGATGCGATAGTACAAATTCGCATTGCGATTTTCCAAAATCGCAACGCGAATATGAAAATCGCAACGCGAACACATAAATCGCAACGCGTATCCGTAAATCGCAACGTGTATCCGTAAATCGCAACGCGTATGGGTAAATCGCAATGCGTATCCGTATATCGCAACGCGTATCCGTAAATCGCAACGATAATACATAAAATCGCAACGCGTATCCGTAAATCGCAACGCGATATTTAAAGCGCCATTATAATCGCTACGCGTATTTTATTTTCAAATTACAAAAAGAATATTAAGACAAAATCCCGTAATCGCAACTCATAACCTAAAACCTAAAATCACAACTCAATCCCATCTCCATCTCTCACTCTCTACGGCGAAGAAATCCGTCCCCATCTCCGAAGATTTCCGTCCCCATCTCCGGCGAAATCCCTCACAACCATTCACGGTCAGAAATCCCTCACAATATTCAGAAATGGAAAATCAACCTCCGAGGGTTAGTTTTTTTAATTATTTTTATTTTGAAATGTTTGCATTATTGTAGGTTTTTCATATTGAAACTGATGATAAGTTTACTGGTCATTTCAATAATAGATTAACCATTTCACTTAGATTTCATTTCGCGTTACGATTCTGTCGTTGCGATTTTCATTTCGCGTTGCGATTCTCTCGTTGCGATTTCAAGTTAGTATTTGTCTTTGTCTTTGTTCTGTCTTTTGGTTGAAGTAATGCAATCCATTCAAGTTTCAATTTGCAGAAGAGTCGCAACGAGATAAATGAAAATCGCAACGAGAGAATGACTGTCGCAACGAGAGAATCGCAACGCGAAATGAAAATCGCAACGAGAGAATCGCAACGCGAAACCAAAATCGCATTGCGATTTTCATTTCGCGTTGCGATTCTCTCGTTGCGATTTTCATTTCGCGTTGCGATTCTCTCGTTGCGATTGTCATCTCGCGTTGCGATTCTCTCGTTGCGATTTTCATTTCAACCAAAAGACAAAACAGTGTTGCAAATTTTAGTTTAAAGAATAAACTACTACTTTTTATGTTTATTGTTTTTGGTATATCTTCACAGTGTAGTTTTTGGTATATCTAACTTGGTATGTTTATTGTTTTTGTAGAAATTTTTTTCGGCTCAATTGACCTTGAGAAATAAAGTCAGCCTGGCCACTACAATTGCAAAGAAGCTTTCACCTGCTCAAAGACAATTGTTTGAGGAAACCTGCTTCGGGCCATGGCTGAGAGTACAGCATCCGGGTGGAGATGCTAATTTGACCCATTTGTGGCTTCAGACCATGACATCAAATCTACCCGACAGTATACAACGTGGTGAGGAAGAGATATGGTTTCATTTTCCACCAGCGTATACTTGCTTTGGGCGGAAGGAGTTCTGCTTAATCACTGGTCTACGATTCGGACACGATGATGTAGGCCGGTACACTCGTCATATCGCCCGCCCATCATGGTTATCCCGGGTTTTTCCGGATGAGTCAATGGAGAAGCCGAACCTACATGTCGACGACCTGAAGAAATTATTTAATAAGAAAGCTGGTTTCACTCGGATGGAAGACGTCGATGTTGTCCGAGTATGCCTTCTACTACTTGTGTATGCCGGCTTTTTAGGCAGAGAGGCCAGACAACCTATTCATCGGGAGCTAATAATATTGGTAGAGGACCTGAATGCATGGAATCTGTTTCCGTGGGGTTCGTATATATGGAAAGCTACCTGGACTAAGTTGTCGTCTGCCTTTGATGACCGCAAAAGTTTGCGGGGCGATGGGTCCAAATACACTTTGTCAGGCTTTGTTTGGGCCTTTAAGGTAAGAATTTCTATATAATGTTTCTAAAATTATAATTAATTATTTAACAATTACTAATTTTGTTATTATATTGTTTGTAGATTTGGATATTCGAGGCTTTCCCCAGCATGCGTACATATGCAATAAAAACGTCAAATGATATTCCCAGGGCTATTTCCTGGAAGAGGAAAACTCTGTTGGATTGGGAAGACTTAATACCATATGCCACAATAAATAATGTAAGTTAACACAAATACTTTCATATAATATATAAACAAGTTATTAATAGTAGACGTTTAACTTTGTTTGAGTTTTTATATTTTAGGAGGCCAACATTCCATTACAAAGACTGTCACCCACGGAGGAAGAGCTTGCCACTGATTGGTGGCAAGCTAGTCAGAGTTTTTTTGATGGCACGGATGATGAGCAGCATCCACTTCCTCCAATTCGAGAGCCATCACCTCACCTAGAGCCATCACCCGATCGTGACGACTATACACCTCTAGAACGAGAGCCATCACCTATCCCGTCACATCATCGAGCCTCTTCTCCACCATCACCTCATGATAGGCGACCGGCAAAGATGCCACGACTCCTATCTCCCTGTTCTCCACCTCCACCTCAACGGGATGAGTCAAGGGAGTTACGTGATGAGGTCAATGCCTTGCGTGAGGAGATCGGTACTCTACGCGATAACGATGGTGCATGGCGTGTGGAGGTGTCAACTTTACGTGGTGAGGTTGCCGCTCTACGTGAGATGATAGTATCGTTGCAGAATGAGGTTCATACTCTACGCAACGAGGTAAGTTTAAGATTTTCCATATTTAACTTAATGATAAATTTACTCGTAATTTCACTTAGATTAGCCATTTCACTTAGATTGCTTAGTAAATTTATTCGGTTGCTGCCAATTCTGCTAAACTGTGTATTCTTTAACACTGTGAAATAATATTTGTCTTTGTTTTGTCTTTTGGTTGAAAGTAAATTTGTTCGGTTGCTGCCAATTCTGCTAAACTGTGTATTCTTTAACACTGTGAAATATATTTGTCTTTGTTTTGTCTTTTGGTTGAAAGTAAATTTGTTCGGTTGCTGCCAATTCTGCTAAACTGTGTATTCTTTAACACTGTGAAATAGTATTTGTCTTTGTTTTGTCTTTTGGTTGAAAGTAAATTTGTTCGGTTGCTGCCAATTCTGCTAAACTGTGTATTCTTTAACACTGTGAAATAGTATTTGTCTTTGTTTTGTCTTTTGGTTGAAAGTAAATTTATCCATTCAAGTTTCAATTGGCAGAAGAATTTATAGTTTACTTTCGCAACACGAAACTTAAAATCGCAACGCGAAACCAAAATCGCAACGCGAAATGAAAATCGCAACGACAGAATCGCAACGCGAAACCAAAATCGCAACGACAAGATCGCAACGCGAAACCAAAATCGCATTGCGATTTCATTTCGCGTTGCGATTCTTTCGTTGCGATTTTCATTTCGCGTTGCGATTCTGTCGTTGCGATTTTCATTTCGCGTTGCGATTTTGGTTTCGCGTTGCGATTTTAAGTTTCGTGTTGCGAAAGTAAACTATTTCTTCTTCTGCAAATTGAAACTTGAATGGATTGCATTACTTCAACCAATAGACAAATCAAAGACAAATACTAACTTCAGGGTATTAGTTTGAAACATATTTTTCTTTGTTATCTGATGCATTTTGTGAACTATGATAGAATAATGACTTGGGTGAATACAATGCAAGTTTGAAACATATTTGTCTTTGTTTTCACTGTTTAAATATCATGTCTGTTTATTTACTGATTTTTGTATTTAATTATTTAGCGGCCCGATAGAGTGGATGCTTTACGTCGGGTTATGCTTGCACGACGGAGTTCACGCATCAGACAGCGTGCACGTGCTATTAAGTCTCCGTACACCCCAATAGTGCGAAGACACCGCAAGAAGAAGCCCGACTCGCCTGTCATCCCTCAAGAGTCCACTCCTATCGTTGAAGAGGCCCCCCATATCATTCCTCGAGAGTCCCCTCCCACCGTTCAAGAGGCAACTGTCATCGTTGAAGAGGTCCCTCCCACCATTCCAGAGCCCGATTCACATGGGGTAATATATCGAAGTATTGAGAAACCCCCACCGGTTCCGGACATGATGGATGAGAGTTGGCTCTCGTATGAGTTACCGGCCAGTACCATACCGGTATCTGAAGAGGAGAGGGAACAACTACCGGACACAATTTTGGATAACACCCTTTGGGCTAAGACCGCAGTTGATTTTTATCTACATGAGCGGAGCAAGGGGTGTTTCACTGACATATGCAAGCTCACCGATGATATCTTTTTGTTGCTTGAACGGCCTTGGTGGGGCGTATTATTAGGGGTCGAAGACAATGGCTATTTCGATGGGGGGGTAAGTCTTATATTTTTCTTATATTTCAATTTGATTAATTTTTTTTTTAAATTTATGTAAGTCACTAATATATGTCTTTTTTTGTAAAACAGCATATCGATGCGTGGGTGACACGTCTTCTAATAATAAGAAAACTTAA